ATGTTAAATAGTTTTATAAAGTACTAGTCTAGATCCAGAAGAATCACGGTCCACAGGTGTCAGTTTCTATGAGTTTATATGAGACAGATTTGAAAAGCCTTATATTATTAATGTTTAAAGAATCTGAATGAAGAAAATTATACATCCTTGTTTTGGGTTTACTGAGATTTGGTTCACTATTTAGTGGACCTTTTCTCTCTCCTATTTATAGTGGAAGTCTAAATTTTATTACCATAACACTGTGAAATACTGATTGGCCTAGTAATTCCTGAGCTGTTCAGTAAAGACGGTTGCATGCACTCACAAAATCTTCAAATACAGGTGATTTCTTATCATTCAGAGGTGAAAGGAAGCAACTATCCCTCCTTACCACCCCCATCTCCCCCCAAAAAACCCCAACAAACAAAAACAAAACCACAGGTTGCCTGTGTATACAAAAACAAGAGTGAAAGAGTTTTTAGGTTTGCCTTGTAATCAGAAGAGTAATTGATTCTTTTGGGGAAAAGGGGGGAAAATATCACACTGGCTGCCTCCACAGAGGTTTCTACAACGTCAAGTTCAGTGTTAACTTGGCAGTGAGAGATAGAGCTAAAAACTCCTGAGAACAGAGCTGGCACCAAAGGAAACAGTTTCTGCTCCCATTGGCTAATCAAATTTTGAAACTTCCTGCCTTTTTCTGCTCATTTGTCCAGTTTTGCTTCTCGTGTGTCCCAATGTCTTTAGCTGTTTCACTTAAGAAACTACAAAGCATAAAATTTTTAATGCCTTTTTTCTTAATGCCTGAAGATTTCTGCTTATGAAAAGAAGGGAAGAGAAAAAAAAAAAACAAAACAGAAAAAGACACACTTTCTGTTTTAATTTCATCTCAAGCATGATCAATTCTTACTGTCAAATTGAAGGCAGTTTCCAAAAGATGCATTATTTGAGTCACTGGATTAATTTCATCAACTTCACTTGGCATTTAGTAGATAAGTAATGTCAAAATGTTAAAATAACATTGTTTCATTTTGTAAACTTGGTGAAATGCTTCAATTAACAGTCTCTCAGCTCCTCAAGAAAGGTAGCAAAATAAGGAAGACTAGAGTAGATCTCTCTAGAAATGTGTTCATATTCAGATGAAGAAATAGGGGAGCTAACATTCAAAATTAGCAACATCTTTTGCGTCTTACTTTTGAACACATTTTATTTGAATGGAGGCAGAACAATAAAATACCTTGGTTTTCGAGTGGTGTGGAAACCAGTTGAGAGGTGTCCTGGTAGCATTACATATTTCTCTATATCTGCTGTTTTTCACACCTAGATTCTATTGATCTTGTGGAAATTGCTGGTTTCTTCTTTGTTAATTGTGTTTTCAGCTTCAAGATTGTAGAGAAAAAAAATCTAGATACATGAGTAGGTTCAAATGCATCTCTGTATCTGCTTACAGTAAATGCAGTTTTTTCTTTTTGACGTTCCTAAAATTCAAAAACTTTCAGGGTCCTTGAATATATGGAATTAACAGCCCTTTGGGCATTACTTTGGTCCTGTTTCTACTTTCCTAGTGGGTTTTTTTCATGTTTTTAAATTCTAAATCCATGAAAAATGTATTCTCAGAAGTTTAGGTTAACTTTCTGTCTATCACAGTTTTGAGAAACTGCTGATCCATTAATTTTTAATGTTAGCTCTTTGAAAAGAAAGGCTCCAAAAGGAGTAGATAAATAATAAGGATGGACAGTTTGCTGAGCATCTGCCAATAATCCCATTGTTAAAATGAAATAAAATACCACTCAAGGAAAATCAAAATGTTCTTCAAAAGATGTTTGAATTAAATTCATGTTTGTTGGGTCTTGCTGGGGAAGATAAAATTTGTCTTCCCCATAAATGTTCCTAGAAGATTTCTATTTTCAAATGTTTTTCCCTTAAATTAATTGTGCAAAGGAGGAGGGGTTTTTAAACATACGGTTTGTGATCCTAAAACATCCCAGGTAAGATAAACTATATTCCCCACAGAGGCCAAATTCCAGTCTCAGAAAGAGAGTGGTCAGGCAGCCTTTCCTCTTAACACCTTGAAAGCTGACATTCATATTTACAAACTTGACCTTTCAGGGTAATATGAAATAAATTATGCTAGGAAACTATCAATTGTATATGAACAGGCTCTCCATTTCTAAAATATCTGAGTATTAAAAACACTTCTGGAAGTAAGATTGCAGATGAAAAAATTCAGGAGAACTGAACAATCCTTTCTCTGGTTCTTTTGCAGCATCACCTTGGTGTTGGCTGCTCAGACCATCTTTGGTTTTACCTCACAAGAAGGACTACTCGCAATTCAAGTTGTAGTGGTAGAAATAAGAAGCAAAAATAACAACATTGCTCTAAGTTTAAAATGTGCTTTATTCAGTTGGAAGATAGAAGTCTTGGGCAGTAAATTATTTTTCAGTGACAATTCAACCTTTTATTACCAACAACTTTTAGCAACAAGTCTGGGAATCATGGGTGTGATTGCTAGAATATCATAAGATCAACTCTGGATCAAGGCAGTTTCTTGAATTTTCTATGACACATGATTCACTAGCAGTCAGTGAATCTTAAGTGCAGGATAACTACCAGTAATACAACAGAAACACCATAATATTAAACACTTCCAAAATGTTATGAAATTGTCTACAAACTGAGATTTGCACACTGGGATGTGAGGCACACTTGTAGCTCCCCATGACGTCTGTGCCCTTGCTGGGCACAGGCACACCTCAGCATCTGAATCAGGAAGCAGCTCTGTCTGGCAGAGATGTGCCGCTGGGAGAGTGATTTTTGACATCATCAAACCAGGTTTTGCCTGTAGCTTTGGTACCCTTTTCTTTCTCTTCACAGTTACAGGTGTTCAGGCTTCTTTTATGCTTCCCTTCCTCCTTTGTGTTTCCTCCACAGTCAAGTCTTATGTTTGCATGTTCTGTGTATACTCATGTATACCCAGGCAGTTGTTACCCAGGCACCTTTGCCAAGGCTGGGCTTTGTAAAACCCCCCCAAATTGTTCCGTTTCAAGAGAAAACCTGAGACCAGGCACAGTGATACATATATTTCTCTCTGCTTGAGCAGACTGTTCTTGCTACTTCGTTACCGTTGATTTCTGAATATTGATGGGTTTAGAACAAATATCATGGTTCAGTGACTTACTTCAAACGTTATTACAGGGCTCGGGTTTTTTGTTTTCTTTGTCTGTACAATGTAGCTGTTACTTAAGGTTTGGTTGTGATCAAATCACTCAACAAGTAATTGAAAAGGGACTCCTGTCCTCTCCCTGTGGTTCTATCTAATTGCTTTTTAGTTGATTTCCCAAATGAAGGCTTTTTGCATTTGTCCAGTTTAACGGCCAAACAAACTTATTTTAATTTTTGTATCTGTCATGGTAATGACTAAATAATGTCCATCAAAGGGTATTCTCTGTCTTGTAATAGTCTATAATTATTGTAGTGCTGAGGAAAGAAATGGAAATTATATACCAAATGATCCTGTGACTCTACTTCATCTTTTGCACATTTGAGTGGCCTCCCAAGGGCTATTTCCTCCATTGTTCTGCCAAGAGAAAACCTGCTTCATGGCCTGACAATATTTGGCATGGAATGGGTTTCCATGGAGCTTCCCCTGGCTCCAGAAATATCCAGAGTTATCCAGAGCTAGCCAAATTAAAAGCCATTAATCTCTGTTTACACTAGAGAACTGACCTTGAGCTAGGTAAATTGACTTTTTTTTTCTTTAAATTAACTGGTTTGGGAATAATCTGAGCAATGTTATTTCCATTTCTTCGCAGAATTTTAAATAAAACAATGGAGTATGTTGAATATTTTGAATTGTTTATGGAAGCGGTAGAGACCCATGAGACCCCTACTAAGTTAGCAAGAACATCACTACTTAAAAGAAGAATAAAAGTCTAAAGTTATCAGGTTTATATAATAATTGTTAATCTTCAAATACCTTGTACAATGATGTGTAACTGAATATAAAAGAGACAAAATGCACAAAATTGTCTTTCTAATCCCACCAAAGGTGTTACCTGAGACTGATCAAAGTCAAACAATTCTTGAAAATTTATTTCAGCTATAAATTGACAGTGCATAGTGATAACCAAAATCAATAACCAGAACATTATGTTCCAAAAGGAAAAGATAGTGTCTCAAAATAGATAGAACTGATTTCTCAGATGTTTATCTTATATCAATTGTAGGATACTCTGCTTTTCTAAGTGTAGTACTGCAAACATGACTGTTTAATTATGAATTTCCATAATCTCAGAATCTCATTTATGTCACCAATGATAAAATTCTTATTGTTTCTTACTTCTCAGAATGGCACCCAGTATTTTGAAACAACATTCAAAAATTCTCAAACTATCAAATCAATTATGTTTCCAAAGAAAAGACATGATGAAATGCTTAGTTTGCAAAACAATTATTTTTTCCATTAAAAATGAAAAGAACACATCCCAAATTGAGAAGAGACCTTTATTCAGTCTGGACTCATGCTTTTTTTCATATGGTGACCATAATAACAATTGTATTAGAACAAAGCAGTAATGATGTTTGTGAGTCAAAAGTGAAATTCCACATGCTGGCTTGCTTGTGATAGGTATGAAAGTTTTTACTCTGTACATTTGGCCAAATCTGTACTCACAGTTTAGGTAATTCTCCTTGAAAGCACATTTGCACTTCACCAGTGAAAGAGGGGTAATGTCTAACAGAAATAATTGAGCCTGGTTGGCATTCATTTTCACAAAAGCTTAAGCTAGTGAGTCAAGAACTAAGAGATTTCCATCTGTCTACAAATTTCACAATATTTTGAGATAATGCGGCATGGGGCAACTTAAAAATACTGGAAATCTGATCTGTAGTTTTTGGGCACCCAAATATTTTATAAGTCATATGCCCACTGGAATGGAAAAAAATCTGCTAATGTGTTTTTAACAGACTGCAGAATAAAAAAAAAAAAGGCACAAATTCTATTTAGTAACACAGAAACTTTGATCCCTGAAATGTTTCCAAAACTCTTCCTTAAACTAGGTATGCTTATGTGTCATTTGGCTGTAGCAGTTAGTGCAGTAGTGCATCTGTTATTCTCTCACCTAAATATTATTCCCTTGCCTTCACTACTCTGAAACTATTTTGTTTGAAATTATAATGATCAGTGTAAAACCATCAGACGCTTAGCAACATCAAATGCTTTCATGACCTGAATTGCTCTGTTTCACGTGAAAACAACAAAGGCAGGTGTTAAAAACTACTTTGGACAGTGACAAGAAAAATTTGGCATCCCCGCCTTTGTGGGAAGCAGAGTAGAGGGGTCTGCTTGAGAAATCAGCCTCTTGGCAGAAATATGGAGACTGCTGGAAGGCCTCGAGAAACTTTCAATGTCATTAAAAAGATGGCATCTCTTTTTTTTAAGATTCAATGAGAGTACTCAGTGTCAGAGGTGTCACTGGTAACAGCCAAAGTAATCCAGCCTATTTGCAGAGAGCGAAATGAGAGCACATAGAAGTCAGATAACTTGCTGTTGAGCATGAATTGTGCTAGCACTATCATTCAGGAAAGAGCCATGACCCTCTAGCAGAGATAGATTTCCCTTTCTGATGCAAGGCTGGGGAACTGTGCAGAACAGGAATCTTCCCTCGTATCTCTCCATCGGACAACCATTGCTGCCTGAGGGTCATGCTCTGCTCCCACAGGGCAGACTCCTTTCCACTTAACTGCTGCTCGGCTTTGCTTTCCACCCTGGTTTGGAGAACTGCAGAGAAAGAATAGGATGACAGCTTCTGCGATAGCATTAGCAAGGCACATCTGATAAATTGTTTGAATAACAGCTGGGTAGATAAGAGGACATTTACTCCGTCCACTTGATTCTTAAAGTCAGTAGCCTCACAAAAGGTTTATCTTTTTATGAGTGTGAATCAGCTTCAATAAGTGTGCTATGATTTTCATGATGTGGAAACAAAAGGGTAATAAAAGCTCATAATCACAGAACTTGTATGAAGTGGGCAGCAAAATACCAGAGGGGCTAAGGTTTAGTTTCAATATCGTGAGAGAGTTATGAATAACATATTAACTCTCCTCTCCGAACCTCTCCTCTCCAAACCTCCCCTCCCCTCCTCTCCCCTCCCCTCTCCACCAAATATATGGTAACTTAAAGTACTCTAGGGAACATACATCAGATGTAAGGCTTCTGCTTCTGGGCAAACCCAAATTGTAATGGACTAATTTATAATAAGCAGAGTTTTAGTCTAGTCAGCGAAACAGTATATATGATATTACAGTATAAAATGCAAAATGCTTATGTCAAGAACTCAGTTCAAAGAGAGAAAATTTTGAGAAAGGTAAAGGGTAATTTTTTTCTTTAAATATAGGTAGTTTACAAGAACCCAAGATTGTGTGCACATATATGTATTTATACGGACAGTTTGATTAATTCTTTGTCACAAAAGGACCTCATTTAATTCAAGGTATTAATTTCTCTGGCTCATGTGCCAGTGGCACATACACCGGGGTCTAAAAAATATTACATGTCATTTCAATGTTAACCCAATGTGTAATCTCAAGTACTTAATTTTTATCCATCTCTTGTATACTACCCATAAACTGAGGAAAAATATGAGATTTATAAAGTATTTTTAAAACTGGAGATGACTAGAGCTCTTCAGCTTTATTTCTGCTTCTCTTACAAGTTGAGAATTGTACTGAATTTTTGTAATAAACTGTAGCTGTTTTGGAAGAAAGTGCAGATTTTGTTTCCATAGCACCCTTTTCTGAATGTCTTTCTTTTTTGTTTTTAAATTACTGCTTCTTTGTGAAGCAGGCTCCTTTTCTTACACTAGTTCTATGAATAAGAAACTTCTATTGTCTATGTGTCTCACCAGAGGAAATACAGAGATTTATGAATATTTTTTAAAGTCAAAAGTTCTTTATGAATTTAGATCTCAACAGCAAAATCTTTACATGAGAATGAAATAAGCCCAGCATCTAGCTTTCTGCTAGTTTTAGCTCTGAAGTGCCTCAGTGCAGTGTCAAGCAAGCCACAGCAGTGGTGAAAGGCAGAGTAGGACCCATTTCACTAGCTTGCCTTGTCATGAAACCAGGCTCAGCTACTGGAGGTGTTTCCATGGGTCCTTATGGAGTGCTCTGCTGTGAATATCCCTACCTCCCTGACAAGTGCACACACACAACTTTTCTAATCAGTCTTGCCAGTGTTCACCTGCCACTTCCCAACTTGCCAAATGTACATTTAGGCACCGCAAAAATTAATTAACATAAATAAATTTAAAGTCAGAGCAATTTTGCTTCATGTGCATTAAGTTTGAAGTGTGTTTCTTCTGTTTAAGACCTGAAAAAGTCTTGTGTGCCTTTAGCTGTATTAGTTGGTCTAATAAAGCATATTACTTCCAGGCTTATTTTTGAGTTAAAACATTTAAATCTCTTTAGAGCAGAGAATTTTAGTAGGCATCTGAAACTAACAAGTGTTTGCCAGCCCTGTACTGAACAAAGTCTAATAAAACTTAACCCTTTACTACAGTTTAATATGTCTGAATGCTCCTGCTCTTGCTTGTACCTGAATGCCTTGTGAGGAATATCCTTTCTGCAGTTCACACTTATATTTTGCAACTGTGCAGCTGTTGTTATCTCCATACAAACACTAACACTCCCTTTAAACTTTTTTTTAAGCTGTATTAAGGATTTGCTGATGTAGTTGTCAAGATTATATTTACCTGTGTACAACCATATGAAATGCAACCATACAACTGCAAACTCACAGAAAACCAAGATATGCTGGAAGTGTCCAACAGTATTGTCATTCTGGCCATATTTTTGTTTTCTGTCCAAATGAGTACCTCAAAGTATTGGTTTTCCAGTAAAAGGTCTATTATACACTACATGACATTTAATGCTGTTAAATTTTTTCTTTGGGTCTATAATATTTTTAAAGTTCTTTCCTTTTCAGTCTATTTCCTACTCATCCTGTTTTCTTTTTCTAGAGTTACCAGTCAAATATTGAAAAATAAGTAACTATGAATATTCATTTAAAGATAAATTTATTCAAATCCTTCTCATTAATCTATTGTGTTTGTTTCTTGTGGTCCCATAGCTGAATTTTATATGCACAATGTTTATATAAAGAGAATTTTGAAGTCACTTGAATGAGCATACATTGACAATACACCCTGAATTTGAAAGTAAAATTGTTGGGAGCAGTTGACTACTCATCCAAAGAAAGAACAGAAACAAAGTCCTGGGCCTGTGAGGAGAACCAGCATAGAGAGGCAGTCACACAACCATTACAAAAAAGTGAGGAATGAAGGTGGGATTAACAGAATCATAGAATAGAATCCATTGGGTTGGAAAAGACCTCTGAGATCATCACGTCCAACCCTTGATCATCCAACACTGCCATGATTACTAGACCATGGCACTGAGTGCCACATCCAGTCTTATCTTAAAAACCTCCAGGGACAGAGAATCCACCACCTCCCTGGGCAGCCCATTCCAATGTCTGATTACTCTCTCTGTAAAAAATTTCTTCCTAATATCTAACCTAAACCTCCCCTGGCACAGCTTAAGACTGTGCCCTCTTGTCCTACTGCTGGTTGCCTGGGAGAAGAGACCAACCCCCACCTGGCTACAACCTCCTTTCAGGGAGTTGTAGAGAGTGATGAGGTCTCCCCTGAACCTCCTCTTCTCCAGGCTGAACAACCCCAGCTCCCTCAGCCTCTCCTCATAGGACTTGTCCTTGAGTCCCTTCACCAGCCTTGTTGCTCTTCTCTGGACCTGCTCCAGCACCTCAATATCCTTCCTGAACTGAGGGGCCCAGAACTGGACACAGTACTCCAGGTGTGGCCTCACCAATGCTGAGTACGGGGCAAGAATCACTTCCCTGGTCCTGTTGGCCACGCTGTTCCTGATCCAGGCCAGGATGCCATTGGCCTTCTTGGCCACCTGGGCACACTGCTGGCTCATGTTCAGCTTCCTGTCAATCCAAACTCCCAGGTCTCTTTCTGCCTGGCTGCTCTCCAGCCACTCTGTGCCCAGCCTGTAGCGCTGCAGGGGGTTGTTGTGGCCAAAGTGGAGGACTCGGCACTCGGCCTTGTTGAACCTCAACCCATTGGAATCAGACCATGTCTCTAGCTTGTCCAGGTCCCTCTGAAGAGTCCTTCTGCCTTCCAGGAGATCAACACTCCCCCCCAACTTGGTCTCATTTGCCAATTGAGTGAACGGTACACTCAATCCCCTCATCCAGATCGTCAATAAAGATATTTAACAGGACTGGGCCCTGCACTGATCCCTGAGGGACACCACTAGTGACCAGACACCAACTGGATGCAGCACCTTTCACCACCACTCTCTGGTCCCAGCCCTTCAGCCAGTTCCTAACCCAGTACAGAGTGCCCCTGTCCAAGCCGTGGGCTGCAGATTTTTCAGGAGTATGCTGTGGGAGACGGTGTCAAAGGCTTTGCCGAAGTCAGATAGACCACATCCACAGCCTTCCCCTCATCCATCAGGTGGATCACCTGATCATAAAAGGAGATCAGGTTGGTCAGACAGAACCTGCCCCTCCTAAACCTGTGCAGGCTGGGTCTGATCCCTTGTCCATCCTGTAGGTGTTGTGTGATTGCACTTGGGATGATCTGCTCCATAAACTTGCCAGGCATCCAGGTCAGGTTGACAGGCCTGTAGTTTCCTGGGTCCTCCTTGCAGTCCTTCTTGTGGATCAGAGTGACACTCACCAACTTCCAATCATCTGAGACCTCCCCAGTGAGCCAGGACTGTTGGTAAATGATGGAGAGCGGCTTGGCGAGCTCTTCCACCAGCTTCCTCATCACCCAAGGATGGATCCCATCTGGTCCCGTAGATTTGTGGGGATCCAAGTGGCTCAGCAGGTTGCTAACTGTTTCCTCCTCTATACAGGGGGGTTATTCAGCTTCCTGTCTCTGTCTACCAGCTCTGGAGGCCAGTTGTCCTGAGGACAACCTGTCTTACTGTTGAAAACTAAGGCAAAGAAGGTGTTAAGTACCTCAGCCTTTTCCTCATCTTTGGTGACTATATTCCCTCCCAGAGAAAAAGAAGATACTCCTGATGCTGGAGCTGAGGCCCCTGTAGCCCATGATGAAGACCATGGTAGAGCTGACCGTCTCCCTGCAGCCTATGGAGGAGCACAGGAGTGCAGAGACCCACCTGTAGCCCATGGAGAAGCCCACACAAGAGCAGGTGGATATCCAAAGGAGGCTGTGACCCCCTGGGAGGCCCATGTTGGAGCAGGGTCCTGCTGGGGAGCTGCAGCCTGTGGAGAGAGGAGCCTACGCTGGAACAGGTTTTTCCCAGGTAGGGCTTGTGGCCCCTGTGGGGGACTCAAACTGTCAGAGCTCATTCGTGAAGGACTGCACCCCATGGAGAAGTGACCGATGGGACAGCAGTTTCATGAAGAACTGTTGTCTGTGGGATGGACTCATTTCAGAGAGGTTCATGAAGGACTGTCTCCTGTGGGAGGGACCCCATGGGAAGCAAGGGAAGGACTCCTCTCACTGCATGGCAGCAAAAACAACAACTGATTATAACCCCTATTCCATGTCTCCCTGCACCTCTAAGGGAGAGGAGGTAGAACTTAGAAGGAAGGAGGGGTAGGGGAAAGGTGTTTTTAAGATTATGTTACTTCTCACTCTTTTACTCTAATCCTGTTAGTAACAAATTTAATCAATATCCCCACTTTGAGTCTGTTTTGCCCATGATGGTGATCAGTAAGTG